GGGCTTCGTGGGCTCAGGCCTGGTGCTGGCAGGAGGAGGAACATGCTCAAGGTGGGTGGATGTGCACTTGATGTGTCTGGTGGGGGAAGCAGAACAGTGGCTGTGACAGGGCGCAAAGTTGGGGGAGGAGTCCTGGGAGCATGGCGCAGGGGGCTGGTCTAGCCTGAAGGATCAGGGGATGCCTCTCTGCAGCTTTCTGAGCTGGGATCAGAAGCCAGGCCGAGGCTGAGAGCAAAAGACATCCAGGCCAAGATGTCTCCCCAAAGACCCAGACACATTTTAGGGTGCTCCTTCTCACTCCCCACCCTGCCCCTCAGGGAGACCCTGGCTAGTAAACACCTCTTCTGGGGGCTGCAGGTGAGGCGCCCTGAACCCCAATGGCAGAAAAGCCTACCTTCCTGAAGAGGAAGAAAGGCTTTCATTCCAAGATACCACCCAGGGCACCAGGTTCCTGCCAAGACTCTCTTCCAGCTTCCTGGGGAATGCTCATAGCTACAGGGCAAGGCCTGGACAGGGCTGCTCTGGCCACTTGCTGCTTGACCAGAGGCAGGTTCCTGCCCTGCTCTGGGCCTTGCAGATCTGAGAATAAGTGGTATTCAGTCCCCCACCCTCCAGGGCAGCTCTGTCGGGACCCAGGCTATGCATCGTGTTGTTTTGGGCCTTTCCTCCAACCTGGGCAAAGAGCAAAGGGCCCTGCTGGTGCCTCACATGACCAAGCTAATTCTCCTGGTGTCCCTTCACTTATGCTGTCACCCCTCCCTACATGCTGTCCCCTCTCCACTCATCCAAGCCCCCCTCCCCTCCATCCATGCTGGACGACACCCCTTCCACCCTCCAACAGTGGTTCCAATTCCACACATCTGCAGAGATCAGTCCCCCACAGCGGATGTCCCCCAAGAAGGGGGACATCAGGGACCAGCAAGTAACCAGTAGGAGTGGTTCTAATTCCACACATCTGCAGAGATCAGCCCCCCACAGCGGATGTCCCCCAAGAGGGGGGACATCAGGGACCAGCAAGTAACCAGTAGCCAGTGTGAGGCAAGCCGGTCCTCCTTTCCTCCCCCAGTGTGGCTCTTCTCACACGCAGGGGATGGTACTGTGGGGCACAGAGGAGGTTCCCCCCTTCATCATGCCTCGCTAGTGAAAGTAGTGGCCAGGGTCCCACCAGACACGCAGAAGCAAGCATGGCCCAGTGTGGTGGGACACGTGGCCCAGCCTCACTTGAAGACAGCATGAGACTCCTGTGAACATGCCCTGACCTGTCCCCTCAGGGGATGCCATCCTGACTTACTGACATCTGTCCAATGAGCATGGGCCCAGGGAAACATCTGGGCTGCCAGTTAACCATCCCTGGGGAAGCAGAGGCAGGGCAGCCAAAGCTGTGTGTGCAGCTGAGTTGGGGGGGGGGTGCCCACTGTCTGGCTCCAGCCTAGGGGTCCTGGTGCTCCCCTCCTCAGGGCCTGTCCCAGTGGTTGACTTACCCGACAGCGTTTGCTCAGGCCTCTTTTGAGTGCTGCCTCCATCCCCCAACAGCCAGCACCCAGACCACTGGCCAAGGGGCCTGGCCTCAGGGCACATCCTCCTCCCAGCCTTTCCTAATTGGCTGGGCATTGCCTAGACCACCAGCACCCTAACACTGGGAAAACAGGCCTAGAGGTAAGAACCATACTCCAGCAGGCAAGTGGCAGGGCAAAATCTAGGTCTCTGCCTCTCTGGCCCTGGAAGCTTTCTGCATGGCCTAGGGCCCCAGGGAAGAAAGCTCTGCCCAGCAACCCCACAACCCTGGGTGGGGGGTGTTTTTCCTTTTACCTCTCCAGGCATCTGATTCCACTGCTAAGATCATCCCTGGATGCACTGGTATGTGGACCCTGCTCCTTAGAGACAGCCGTGTGGCCTCCGGGGGGGTGATATCTCATCTTCTGTCTCTCTACCTCTTTCTATATTTCTGGCAAGCACATACGCCCTATAGCAAAAATCTCTAAAAAAGAAAGTGACAAAGAGAAGAGAAACTTACCTATTTGCTGTCTTCCATCACCTTCTTTGAAAACAGCAATAGAAGTCAGAGTGTATCATAAAGCAATTCCTTTTCTAAAGTTGTAAATTGTTGAGAAGATGAGATTTGGGAAAATTGATGGCAATGCACAAATAATGAAACAAAACGTTTGGATTGGAGTTTAGGATATGAGCACTCCTCTCTCTCCACTTGTTCTTTCATCGTGGGCAAACATATCTGAATCCTTTTAGAATAGACCATTTGCCAGAAGGTTCAATCTCTGACACTTTCTAGGTCTGTTTGCATGTGACTATATAAGGCTAAATTGATATTTACTTGCTCTTATTTATTTTGAAAAAGCCAGGTTCTCATTCTGAGTTAGCATGTGAAAGAGTTAACGTTAATAATAATATTTAGCACCGTTACTACCTTCATTATAATAAGCAAAGGATGCAAAAACTATTTTTCATTTCTATAAAATGTGGAGAAACTGAGGAACTTTCCAAATATAACTCATCATGTCACAGTTGGAAGGGGAAGTCTAGTTTTCTGACTTCAAAACAGCTCGGTTCACTAAGGCATGTTGTCTCCCTTTGAGCATAAAATAAAAACAACCCAACTTAATCAAACTATGTTTGCCAAGTTTCAGTCTATAGGGAACTTTTATTTTTATAGCCAAGAGTAACACACACTTTATATTAGGCATTTTTAATGGCAATATTGGGACAACCTACACTATACCTTCACAAATAGAGTACAAAAGCCCTTGGGTATATTTACCTATTATGAGTGGTTTTAGAGAGAGAGAGAGAGAGATTAGTCCACCTAGGAAATATGTGAATGATTGCTTCACCAATTGGGAAACATCTTTTGTTTAGTTCTGAACTAAAATAAAATTCGTAATGTTTTCCTTTCCCTTCTAGTCTTTAATATTAGTAGATTACAATTTCTACAACACAAGGTCTACATCTTGTCTCTGCCTCTGAGATAAATGTTTGTTGAATGAGGGAAGAGATGAATGAATAAAATTTATGAACAATCTATAAGGCCAAAACAAATTTTATCTATCTATCTATCTATCTATCTATCTATCTATCTATCTATCTATCTATCTATCTATCTATCTATCTATCTATCTATCTATCTATCTATCTATCTATCTATCTATCTATCTATCTATCTATCTATCTATCTATCTATCTATCTATCTATCTATCTATCTATCTATCTATCTATCTATCTATCTATCTATCTAT